GTGCTCATATTCGAACCATCATTGCTCAACTTTGTAGCTGAGTACAAAATTATATGCGCTTTTCGATCCACAGATTTTGGTGATGCAGTTGAGTTTGATATCTATTCCTCCAAAGGGAATTCTTGGGAAGTTGCTGGGGAGATCCATTTTGGAGCTAGAGCAACACGTATGCCAAATCCAAAATCAGGGGTTCATGTGAATGGTGTTGTTTACTGGATGACAATTTCAGGTAGTATTCTTGCTTTTGATCTAACAAAGGAGAGGTCACAGCTCCTTCAAAACCATGATTCTCGTGGGATTTTGGGGGAGTTTAGTGGAAAGCTCTGTAAGATGAACGTCTTTGGTAATTCAATCAGTTTAAGCATTTTGGATAATGTCCACTCAAATACAATGCAAATGGGAAGCAAAACCAAAATGTGGGCAGGAAAACAGCAGGTTGTTCTTGACAGTAATATTGTTGGGAATGTAGCAGGGGACTACTCAGTTTTACACGTCGACAGTAATATGTTGGTGGTTCGGAGCCAGGGAAAAGCCTTTTGGTATGATTTCAAGTCTCGTGCAACAAAATGCATTCCGGGTGAATTTCATAATTCGAGATGCTTTCCCTACGTCAACAGCTTAGTCTCCCTCTAGTCTGCCTTTGCTGCAGTTGAAAGATCTTTGTTTCGAGCTACAACATCCTTGCTTGGAATTTCTTTCAAGAATAATCATAGTTTGTTCATGTTATTATTATTAATTACTTTATCTGTGATGATTATTTCAAGTGACAGCGTAGGATTAATTATGCTATATAATAGCAGTGGATATATTAAATATTCGTAAATGAAGTTTGTTTCATAATCCTTCCAAGCTTTTTCCTACTATAAAGTAAGTAGAGGATCATACCACAATTTCCACTCATTGTATATGGTTGCTTTTATATTTTTATTTTTGTGTTTTCACTCGAGTGTTAGTAGGGGTGGCAAAATCAAACTCAATCTGTCCAATCTGTTTAAAATAACTCGCTCATTCATTCGCTCAATCATTTTCAACTCAACTCATTAATAACATTGTGTTAGGCTCCTTTGTGATTAATTCGGATTTGAGTCCTTAGTATAGGGTGAAATTTCCTACCAAAGATAACTTCGTAGTTACTGTATTAAATTATGAGTTCTTTTAATAGAAATAATTGACTTTTCTCCATGTAGGTTTTATACCATGAGTTCTTTTAATAGAAAATTACCCAATTTCCTTTTCTTTTTTTTTATCTGAACCAGATCTACTAAACCAAATGAATTCATACCAAATTAAATTCTCAAAAAAGTAAATTGGGTAATTTTAGTTGATTTGGGGCTTTCCATCCAATTGAGGGACACAAATGATGAAATTAGTAATAGCAGGGTTAAGAATAACTTCATCGAAACGGTAAAAGCATAGTCAACCAATAAAACAAAGTTGAGAGATATTTTCGACCCTTTTTCCTTAATTTAATTGGTGTGCAGTTTTTTTCGAAACTATGGGATTCGTTTTAGCTATTACATTTAGTTTTAAATTCATATTCTTTAGTTATAGCTTTATTATTTTGAATGTCAATAATATTTGTGTATATTTTGTAACTACTTCGACTAAAAACTCAATGATCGATAACGAAAAATACTTTAATTATGGACATCTCACTGGACCTTTTCATATTAGATTTTGCAAAAAAAATAAAAATGATCTGCTACCACACAAACATAGTGTAATTTATTTTAAAGTAAGAATTTAAAATCATTTAATCAATAATTCAATACCATTATCAAATATTTATTTTACACTTAGTGAAATGATTAAATATCATTTAATAATTTTTAAAAAATATTTAATTAATAACACTTAAAAATAAATTTATGAACAAATATTGGACCCGTTTAAAGCACGAGATTTTTGTAACTAGTATTACATATAAATAGGAGAGATAAAAAGGATGTTATATCCTAGAGGGATTCTCTTTCCATGAATGAATATCCTAAAAGAAAATAAAATAAAAAAAAATAAAAAATTGGTTTCTTTCAGTTACTTGGAATGGAAGTTACAAGAGAAGAAAGATCTCCTTGTTTAATAAATCAACTAATTCCTTATATATGGGAGAAGAAACTAAACAAACACTCTCTGTTTTATTAAAACTAAAACTCTTTATTCTTGGTTTTCCGGCTATTGTGAGTATTATGATTATGTATTACAATTGATTCAATTTCATTGCCTTTTGATTCTTTCTTTGTTTCAAAATTCCTTTTTATGTGAAATTTACATTTCAAAATCTGTTAGTATAGTGAAATTTCTTGATTCTAATTTCTAGTTGTAAGTATGCTTTGAGGGTGTTTATACTTACAATTTTACATTGTCGTGCTTTTAGATAAATGAAATCTTGGAAGGATGACGACATGACTGATAGCTCTGATGAATCGAATCATGACATGGTTGATAGCTCTGATGAATATGAATGGGAGGATGATGGGATTTTCAAGGTATTGTTTTCTTCCTCGAAAACACACACAGCCTAAAGAAGAGTAGATACAATTTTTTCATGAGTCTTATTACTATACCTGTTTTGTCTTGCCTAGGACGACGTTAAGACTGTTGCTTTTAAGCCAGAATGGAATGAAGAATCTGAAATACCTGCAGATTACATTAGGAGAGAATACATGGAGATCAAAGACATGGCAAAGAAATATGTAGCGCCTTTCCTTCCAGCTAAATCATTAATGAAGTTTCGGGCAGTGTCCAAAGAATGGAATCATTGGATTGTTAGTCCATTATTATCATACCAACAAAGTACTTCATTCTATAAACTTTCAGGCTATTTTTATCAAACAGTGGATGTTGATTTTCAATCTAATCCTGATTTTTTGTCTCTGGACCGTTCTGCGAATGGAGTCCCCAGTCCTTCCCTTGGTTTCTTGCCTGAAAGGGTCAAAGTTCTAAGTTCTAGCAGCGGGTTGCTCCTTTGTCAGGGACGGGAGAATTATTATGTTTGTAATCCTGTAACCAAAGTTTGGAAACTCATCCCTTGTCATCAATATTATCATGGATTTGATCCATCTGTTGTTCTTGCATTTGATCCTCGGGATAATATTGAATCATATTATCACATTGTCGCTGCAGTCCCTCTTCTTGGTCAGCCAGTTGTCTTCTTTGAGATTTACTCGTCTCAATCAAATTCTTGGAAGCGCTCTTCTTCAGAATGTCTTGAGTTAGAAGGTACAATTCTTATTGGTGGGGGATTTTATATGAAGGGGATGGCTTACTGGAATACAGCATCAAATGAGGTGCTAGCATTCGATGTGAAAAATGAGATATCAGCAGTTCTACATGTGCCTATTCCACCTGGGAGATATGGTGCCTTGACTCAGATAGAAGATGAGCTATGCTATGTAACTGCTTATAATGACGGTGGGGATGTTTTTGTATTAGATATCTATGGAGGAATGTACATGAGCCTGAAAAACAGTGTAAGCATAAATCTTGGACACAAGAAGTCTCGTCGAGCATTTGAGGAAATTCCCTTTATTGAGAACAGTACTGTGTCGTGTAGCGTGCTACCTTGTTTTAACAACGCTGATGACATTGTGGTGATCTACACGAATGAAAGGATATATCTTTATCACTTGAGGGAGCAGAAGGTCGAGACTCTCAGGACTCCACGACAATTAAATCCTCAGAGAAGATTCATACCTTATATAAACAGCCTCGTTATGTTACATGAACTGAACAATTAGTGCCTTGATGATATTTCGGTTGCTGTCAAGTAGAAAACTCTCCCTTACATCGCCGCTGCTGCTGCTTTGTTCTATGTGGAATTGAACATTTTTCATGATTTTTTGTTTGTTGGACTTGGATGACAGAATTAGTACTTTGAATGAATAGCTTAGCTTTGGTAAATAGATCATGCTTTCAATTGCCATTATTTCAGTTGGACAGTAGTTTTGAATGTTTTTTCCTTCACAAATAATAATGGTTTGGAGTTTTTAGTTATGGTTTCCTTTGATTTTCTTTCTACTACTGTATCAAATAAACAAGGCAATTCCCATCATCTACCTGGATGCAGAGGGCCCTGGTTAGCTCTGTAGTAGCAAATTTGGGATGCTATGTGTGACACAAATGTCGACAATTGTGTTGTTGTAATTTTCAACTATGGATAATTTCAGATTAGACAATTTTATATTTACTAGCAGTAGCCCTCCCTAACAAAAATAACTTCGTTTCCAAGGCCTCCATCAAAAATTACTTGTCCATGCTATTAAAAATATTTGTCACAAATTATTTGTTAATTGTGGCCCAGTGATTTGGGCTTGGGACATCCATGTTCGAGGTCTCAAGTTCGAAATCCCTTGCCAGCGAAAGCAAGGTGTTTGCCTTCTGAGTCGAGCTTGTCGGACTGGACTTGCCTAGTGTAGGCTACCTCTCTTATGTGGCTTGCGAGCTATTGCATAGAAGCGGAGGTTTCACCCTTGGTTCAGGCGACAGATCAATAGTCAACTCAAGGTGGGTGAGATATTCTTTATTTTAGATTGAAATAATTCCATTACTACCAACCCAAAGAAATATGACCTCTTTGAGATATACGATTTATGCCTTAGTGAAAGGACTTGGCTTTGCATCTGAAGGAGATTCTCCAGTTGGGTACAGTGCAAAGCCGAAAATAAAATAAAATAGAATTATATCAATTTAAAAAAAAAAAGGTTTCCAAGTTATATTCTCAACAGTTTGTGGTGCACTATACTCTTTACTGCTCAGTTGGGTACAGTGCAAAGCCGAAAATAAAATAAAATAGAATTATATCATTTAAAAAAAAAAAAAGGTTTACAAGTTATATTCTCAACAGTTTGTGGTGCACTATACTCTTTACTGCTCAGTTGGGTACAGTGCAAAGCCGAAAATAAAATAAAATAGAATTATATCATTTAAAAAAAAAAAGGTTTACAAGTTATATTCTCAACAGTTTGTGGTGCACTATACTCTTTACATAAGCAGTTTTTTCTTTAAACCCTTTTTTAGTATCTTCTTCGCATTCTATAATTCTCTCTTTTGGGGGTTCAGTTGGAAACACAGAAAGCCAAATTAGTCAGAGATTTTTCACTCTCCGCTATGGCTATCGATGGAGAACAGTCGCACCAATCTCAGAGATCACGTCAATCTGGTCCTACCGCCAAGAAAAAATCAAAGTCCAATGAGAGAAAGAAGGGCGTTTCCCACGAAAACAATAAGCAACATAATCCCAAGGTACTCATATTCTTTAATTTTTCTTTAAATTCTGTATATCATTATGTGCTTGGGTTGTCAACTGTTTTACGCTATTCCTGACAGATTTTTAGGCAATAATATGTGTGATGTAACCGCTTATGTAGATAGTAATTTTAAAGTTTTAGTATTCCTAATCGACTAGTTATTTCTTGAGACTTATTGGCATTTGCAGTTAATTCCACTGTGAAAGAAAAGAAGTTGCAAGCACATGTTTGCTTTGGTTAGATGTCATTCATTGGGTTTTAGATTTGATCCTCTTATGGATTATGCTATTATAGGTTGGGAAGTCACTAATAATTAAGTCTCTTGTGAAACTTTTTAACAGTAAAAGAGGAGAAAGTTTTAATTTGAAATGTACCTCTCTCCTTTAATAACAATAACAACATACTTAGTGTAATTGCACTAGTGGAAACTAGGGAGAACTTGCGAAGGTAGAAAGATTGTTTCGCATATATCCTCTACTCAAGTAAAGCATATCAAATAAGATAAATGCATAATAGTGATGCAATTGTTAATTTGATAATTACCTAACATGCTTTAATAATATTACGACTCAATTAAGTGAGTAAATAGGATTTAAGATTCACTAACTGATAATATAAAGCTTTAACTTAAAAATCGGATTGATTGGATAAAAGATAGAGAGATTTAATTACGATCGTCAATAATTCACGTTAGTATGCTTGATATGGAACGTGATAATTGCGCTTTTAGTAGCATTTTATTTATGGGTGTTAATTCACTTATTTACACCTATAATTATTTTTCTTACTTGATTATTATGTTATCTAATGGTGTAAAATTTCTTTTGTATGAAATTTATAATACTTACATGTAAAGAAAGAAGAATAAATATTGGTTTCTTTCTTATACAAGTCAAACTGCTCGACCTCCGTAGTTAATTAGGATTAGAGCTGTCAAAATGGACTTGTCCCTTGAGGCCACCCCAGTCCAATCCGCTACTAGGGATTGCTTTGGTTAAGATTTCTTAAGTCCATTTAAAACTGATGCTTATAAAGCCAGCTCAAGTCAGTTCGCTGGTTATTGAGGCTCGATCGGAGTTCGGTTGAGGCCGTCTCGTGGGGCAATCAGGATGAACCTTTATTGGTGGAGGAAGGGATAGTGATGGATTCCTATAAAGCATCCAGGAAAAGCTAGCTCCTACTCTTCCTCCTTCTCCTAAAGGCTATTTAATTTAAATTAGAAATTTAACAGAAGATTGTAAAACAAAGAGAGTAAAAACTAGGAATAATGATAAGTTACCAAGTTCAAAAAAAAAAAAAACTAGGAATAATGATTATTGAATAAGTTTTAGTATCTTACACAATACTTTACTCATTTTGCTTTAAATCCTAATCACCAAGTATAGAAGTTGCATTCATGATTATGATTTAATGTAAACTCTAAACTTAAAAAGAAAATTGTGAAAAAGAGTAGAAGCTAGGAATAGTGATTACCGAATAAGTCTTGGTATCTTACACAATACTGAACTCATTTCGCGTTAAATCTCCAATACTAAAATTCCTAGTCACCAACTATAAAAGCTGTATCTATCGTGCTAAAAATTTGATGTACATTTTTATTCAAATTCAAAGTGGTAATATTTTAAAGTGAATTTAAAGATTATTAGTTTTTGTAGTTGTTTGATAATGTTCAACTAATTAAACTTCATGTAAATGCAAAAGAAGATAATCTCAGATCAAAAAGAAAGGGGGATACGGAGAAATTGGTAGATGCTACAGACTTAATTGGATTGAGCCTTGGTATAGAAACTTACTAAGTGATCACTTTCAAATTCAGAGAAACCGTGAAATTAACAAAAATGAGCAATCCTGAGCCATATTGTCTCCTGCTTCGACTGATAAATCCAACCAAAATTACCACATCATCAATTCAAAAGAGAGATGAGTTTGGATATAATGCGGATTCAGGCAAATTTACCTCTTACAAACTTGAAGAAGAAGGGGGTATAGGATGTTAATCGAAACAACTTTATGAATTGATTCAAATGTGCTTAGTAGTGATGTGTTAGTGTTGAATATGTACTTTCATATAATTATATGTTAGAAATGTTAACAAATTGACATACATTTAAGTTCGGATTTAGATTGAAAACAATGAAGGATTAGTCCATCCCTACCTGTGACACGCTTTTAAGGTTGGGCTGGGCTGATCATTTTAAGGCTTTTTAACATGGAAGGGCTGGCCCGCCCTAACCCATCAAATTCCTTGGTCCGCATAACTTAAGCTGAATTAGATTGAACTGACCTATTTTGACAGCTCTATTCAGAATGAAAATTACTAGAAAGATTTTGACTTGAGATTGTGTAAGGCCATGAAATGTCGAAATTCTCCTCCTTTTATCAACTTTGTTTCCTTATATATATATAGCCAAAGAAGCAAACAATATTTCCTTTATACAAACTAAACTCTTTGCTAAATTTCTGCAATCTTGAACTCTCTCCACTCTCTTCTCCGCACACGGTTCTCGTCACCGCTAGGGTTTCAAACCGCTTTCCCCTCTTCTTCTTTGTTTACAGCAACTCAACCCCCGGGCATTGTGAGTTCTTTCTTTAATTCTTCTAATGTTTTTTGATTACCAGTATTAATTAAAAACTCTAAATTTCTTTTTACGATTATCCATTATATATGTCAACAAAAGTGATTTATTCTTAATTTGTTCCATTTGATAGTCATCTGTTTCAATTGTTGGAATGTGTTTTGATTCCTTGTATTATTCTTATGTGGGACTAGTTGTATGTAAATATTTCACATTTCAATTGACCAAGAATTATATATATGAACTTTCGGATTTTACTCAGATTTATGATATGATCTATGTGTGAATGACTTATTTAATTGCCTTTTGACTCTTTGTTTCAAAATTCCTTCTTTATGGAAGATTTACTTTTCTAAATCTATGGTTTCTTGATTTTCAGTATTGTGAAATTTCTTGATTGTTGATATTTTGATTTCTTCGAAGCACAGTTACCAAGGAGATGAACTGCTAAATGGTGATTGGGAGATTTACATTTCAAAATCTATGATTTTAAGTATAGTGAACTGTCTTTCCTTCTTTTGATACTGATGATTAGTGATCTATGAAGTAGAGTCTAGAGTGTACCTCATCTACTCCTTCTCTGAGATCCTAATTTCTCGCATACTAAAACACTTTGTTAGAGTGGATTAGCCTGTCTTTCTTTTGATTGTTCATAAGTATACTTTGAGGGAGTTTATGCTTTAAATTTTCCATTGTCACTAACACCGTGGTATTTGTGCAGAAAAAATTAAATGGAATCGTTGAAGGACAACATGATGGCTATTAGCTCTGATGAGTTTGAGAATAATATCATGGCTGATGCTGAGGAATTTTCTCCAGCTATTCAACAACAGGACAGTGGGACTCACAAGGTATGGTTTTCTTCCTCTCCTATTTTTGAGTATTTTTATTTGTTTTATATGAATAACAATACTGAAACTTATTCAATTCAGTACAACAACAACATACCCAGTGGAATCCACAAGTGGGATTTGGGGAAGGTAGGATCTACGCAGACCTTACCCCCTCTCCCCCCTCCCCCCCCTACCTTTATTGGATAGAGAGTTTGTTTCCGATAACCTTTTTATCATAGAAGAATGGTCGTTTTTTCTTCTGATCGATAGTTCTGCAATAGTGCAACATATCCCAGGTTACACAACCAACAATTACTTTGATGGATGAAAACTACTATTCATTTTGCTTCATTTGAACTCATCTTATTCCAAAACCATTTTTTTTATTTTCACAATGTAATTATATGGGCAATCTGGACTCCCCTATTTTTTTGAGAAGCTGCTTCGTTAGATCTTGCTCTTTCTGATACTCTCTTGTTTGTCTTTCCATTGTTTTCCTTATTTTTTTGAGAGATGTTGATGAATACACTATTTAAATGAGCCTTTGTAAGTGAACTTGTTGAAAGTGCCCAACCTAAATAGAGCGGAGTAGAAATAAATGTTTCATGGGACTGACACCAACTAGTATGAGTTTGAGCTGTAATTGATATGTATATATCTCTTTCATCTGATTACAATACCTCTTTTGTCTTGGATTGCAGGTTCCAGAGGACGACTTCAAAGCTGTTGCTTATAAGCAGGAATGGAATGAAGTATCAAAATTACCTGCAGACTACATTAGGAGAGAAGACATGGAGATCAAAGATGTGGCTATGAAACATGTATTGCCTTTCCTTCCTGGTAAATCATTGATGAAGTTTCGGGCAGTGTCCAATGAATGGAATCATTGGATAGTTTGTCCGTTATTAGCATACCAGCAAAGCACTTCATTCCAGAAACTTTCAGGCTACTTTTATCAAGTTGTGGATGTGGATTTCCAATCTGATCCTAATTTCTTGTCTCTGGACCATTCTGCGAATGGTATCCCCAATCCTTCCCTGGGTTTCTTGCCTGAAAGGATTAAAGTTCTCAGTTCTAGCAGCGGGTTGCTCCTTTGCCAGGGGTTGGAGAGTTATTACGTTTGCAATCCTCTGACCGAAGATTGGAAACGTATCCCTCCTCATCAATATTATCACGGATCTGATCCAGCTGTCATTCTTGCGTTTGATCCTCAGGGTAATATTGAATCGTATTTTCACCTTGTCGCTGCTGTCCCTCTTCTTGATCAACCAGTTGTGTTCTTTGAGATTTACTCGTCTCAATCAAATTCCTGGAGTCGCTCTTCTTCAGAGTGTCTTGAGTTGGAAGATACAACTCTTGTTGGTGGGGGATTATATATGAAGGGGATGGCGTACTGGAGTACAACATCAAATGGTGTGCTAGCATTTGATGTGAAAAATGAGGTCGCTGCAGTTCTACGTGTGCCTATTCCACCTGGGAGATATGGTGCCTTGACTCAGGTAAAGGATGAGCTATCCTATGTAACTGTTTACAACGATTGTGGGGATGTTTTTATGTTAGATATATACGGAGGAATGGACATGAGTCTGAATCACAGTGTCTGCATAAATCTTGGACACAAGAAGTCTTGCCAAACACTGGAGGAAGATCCCTTTATTGACAATGGTACTGTGTTGTGCAGCGTATTACCCTGCATAAACAGTGGTGATGACATTGTGGTGATCTGCACAACTGAAAGGATATATCTTTATTACCTGAGTGGGCAGAAGGTTGAGACTTTTATGACTCCAGGACAGCTAAATCCGAAGAGAAGATTCATACCTTACACAAACAGCCTCGCTGCGATACATGAGCTGAAGAACTAGCTGTTGCTGTCAAGTAGAATTCTCATGTCCTTCCATCAGAACTCCTTGAACATTTTGCTTCTTCTTTTGTTTTTTATTTGACTTGGATTGCAGATTAAGTTGTTTGAATAGCTTTGTGTTTTTGTTATAGACATGTTTTGGATTGCCAATAGTTATTGCGAGGTTTTAGTTGTCAGTTCCTTTCTACTGCTACTGTTTATATTTGACGATGGAATGTGACGTATGATTAGCTTTACGTTGGAGGTGGAGGGTATTTACTACTTGAACCGATCCCTCTTGTTTTCTCATAATGAAGAATTAAAGCTTATATTATTCACGTTTACTAGTATATACATAAAAAGATATCAAACTAAATTTTATTATATATGTGTTTTAATGAAACTGGGAATCGAGAAAAATTCAAATTAATTCGGCATCTATGAAAGTAGTAAACATCAGATGAAAACATATAATTTATTTTAGTCGAACACAAAATGTTACTCTTCAAATTATTTCTAATATTTATCTTGAGGAAAATACTAAAGGGAAAAGAAGAAAATTTAGAAGATTAACTAAGATAATATTCTTATAAATTGGGTTATTCTCTACTTATATACTAGTAAAAACATCAAAATTATCTAATGTAATAATTAAGATGGACACAAACTAGGAGATACACGCTAAGTAAAAGTGTATCTATCACTAATAAAATTTGATTCAAACTACACAATTTTTACTACTTTAAGGTCTAATTACATATTTCTTGCAAGTTTTCAAAATTACTATTTGTGTCAGATTTCGATCTTCAGATACATGTATAATCTATTCAGATACATTAGGTCAAAAATAGGTGTAATTGTATCTTGGATACACTAACTTTCTCGCTCACTTCTCTCCTACATCGCTTACCTCTCTCCCTCTCTCGCTCACCTCTTTTCCTATGTATCTAAATTTCAGAGTGTATCTAGTTCCCCAAATATATATATATTTAGTGTGATTCGTATGTATCTGAGATACACTGACTCTCTCGCTTGCCTCCCTTCTCTCTATCTCTTGCCTGCCTCTCTCCCTATGTATTTTTATTTCAGAATGTATCTTATAGCAAAAATACATGTATATAAGTGTATTTAACTTCAAATTTGATATAAAATTATTAATTAGTGAGACATTATATCATTATTTCAACGGAAAGGGACAAATATACCTCTCTACTATAGGAAATAGTTTAAATATACCCCTAGTTATACTTTCGGGATAAATATACCCCTCCCGTTATACTTTTGGGCTAAATATGCCCTTATCACTAACAGAGGACACGTGGATAACTGAGATTAAATGAACTATTCAATTTAAAATAAATCAAACTCGGATATGACCCGCCCCGCCCCAATAACTTAATCCGGCCTAATAGGTAACATTGACCCACCCAATTTGTCTTTCAAACAAGAAAACCTAATGGGCGATCCAAAGAGGTCTGCGGACTTTGGAACCTCTGCTTCGCAAATATGAGTTCATATAGTTCTTTTGTTGTAATACTTGTGCACGATATAGTTGTGTTGGCAACATTTGTTTAATAGCTAAGGTGCATCAACTATTTTCATCAACATGAAGCCACATATTAGCCCAAAAATCTGAACTTAATAATATAGCAGCAACGCAGCAGTGCACCACTCCTAAATTAAACACTTTCTAAATTAAAAAAAAAGCTTAAAAAAATAAGAAATAACTTACAATATATCAATCTAGACACTCTCCAAAAAATGATAGAGATATTTCTTTAATAAGATTCGTATAATTTAAGTTACGAACTTACATGCCACGCTAAGGAGTATATAATATAACGGAATAACCTTAGTATAATACTCTGCATATTTTAACAGTTCGCTGCGCTACTATGCCCTTAAACCCTTTTCCATAAACAGTGTCTTCTTTAAACCCTTTTCAGTATTTATCCATCCCATTCTTCTTCTTCTTCGCCGCCGCCGACGATGCTCTTAGTCTTTTGAGGGTTGCAGTTGGAAACCCAGAACGCCAAATTGATTCATAGACTTTTCTCTCTCTGCCATGGCTATCGACGGAGAACAGTCGCACAAATCTCACAGGTCACGTCAGACTGGTCCTACCGCCAAGAAAAAATCCAAGTCCGACAAGAAAAAAAGGGTGCTTCTGACGAAAACAATAAACAACATAATCCTAAGGTTTCTTGAATAGTATTTTTTCTTGTAGTTCTTTTTTGTTCTTTATGTGCCTGGGTTCGTCTTACTGTTTTACTCTATTCTTGACTGATTTTTATTAATAATCTGGGTAAATGTTTGTTTCAGTCTATTTTGTTGGTCTACCCAGTCATAGATGAATAGATGTTGGTAGTTCTTTTAACTCTAGACCTAAGTCTCCTCACTGGCTCCAGGGTCTTACCATTTATCATGTAATGGAGAAAGCATATCTACTTTTGTACTCTTTGAATCTTCTTGATTACTTCATCAAGAAAATAATAATTTGGGCACAAGTCCAAGATTTCTTGAATTGTAATTTCTTGAGACTTATAATGTAAATTTGTAGGCATTTGCATTTAATTCCACGGTGAAAGCAAAGAAATTGCAAGCACGAGCAACAGAGAAGGAGCAGAAGAGGCTTCATGTCCCAACAGTTGATAGGTCCACTGGTGAACCAGCTCCATATGTTATTGTAGTGCAGGGACCTCCCAAGGTTGATTTCACATGGTTGTTTTTGGTTAGATGTCATTCATTGGGTTTTAGATTTGATCTTCTTATGTATTATGCTATTATAGGTTGGGAAGTCACTGTTAATTAAGTCTCTCGTGAAGCACTATACAAAGCAAAATTTACTTGAAGTTCGAGGTCCCATCACTATAGTATCAGGTATGGATTGGCTTCCCACCTTGTTCCTTTTTCCGGTTAGCTTAGTCCATAAATGAATAATTGGAAGTATTAGAAAGAAAGTATGGATTCACCTGATCACATCTGAGATATTATCTTTGATGGTTTCTGTTTATCTCATGTTTCGTCTTGATTGTGATTTTTATCTCCTTCAAAAAGGAGGTAGAGAGGATATCAAATATGCTGGAGGTGTTGGGTGGTTGTGGAAATTATTCATTTAACATATTACAGTATATCCATTTTCTTGTTCCTTATCCTTTTCCTATTCCTCATTTCAATTACAATGGTAGGCTTTCGAGATGGATTCCGTACTTTAGAGAAGACCTTAATTAAATTTTCCTAATACTTCCCCTTAGCCCATATAACATTTCAAGTTTAATGAATGAAATAAAAGAGAAAAGCTAATTTTCTTGTATAAAGATGTTTTTTGTGTAGGAGGTTATTCTACTTTCATTTGGGTTTCTTTCAACTTAATATACTCTGCATTCAGAATAACTTCAGCTGGCTGGTTTTTACTGGGTTTTGAAATTATATTTAGTTCTCCACAAGCAAGACATGCCTCCAAAATCAGTTGGGACATGGTATACAGTGAGTGCTTGGTTTCGCGTCCGAGTAATCTGCTGTGGTTGTGATGCTGTTACTGACTCTGATATGTATATAAACTTAAAATTGTATTTTATAGCTATACTTTTTTTTTCTCTTTTCGATTTTTTGCTATGTGATCGAGGATATGCTTTTCTGCTTTATTGCAATATGTTAGTAACTGGTCTTGTCAAATGTGCACTTAAACCCGGTAGGCAAGGCACTTTGTAGGATGAATGTTGTGCCTTGCTAAATTGCTGTTTCGGTGGAAGCTCTTAGTTGGTGATTCAACACAAAACCTAGGTTAATTATGAAATTCTTGAGTTTTGCCTATAGGTTGACTCTAAATCATTAAGGTGGCTGGATCAATTTAGTGTGAAGTGTTAAGGAAACTCGGCTGATGGAAATATTCTAGTCACTACTCCCTAGGAATAGGAAATTAAAATATTTTTACAAGAGAGTTAGTTACTTCTTACAATTGCATTGTGAACTTAAAAACTTAACTAGAAATAGAGTGGAACTTGAACTACCATGGTCTTTATCCACCAATATATTAACTTAATATGCAGTGTTTTATTTCCATCAATTTTGCATCTTTTTTCACCTAGTTTGTATTTAGTTGAGCGTTGTTAATATATCCCATAAAATAGCTTTTCTATGCATTTTGCCTCTGACAATATTGATAATATCTAGAAGACATTTTTTTTTCCTTTTGATGTCCCAAAGTAAGGTGTCAACTTAATCAATTAGAAGAGTAGCTATATATGCAGTATTGACATAACTATTTCTATTGCGTTTTACTTGGATCTTTGGTATTGGAAAATTATTGTTAATTCATTTGTGACATTGTAGGTAAGCAGAGACGTTTGCAGTTTACAGAGTGTTCGAATGATATCAATGGAATGATTGATGTGGCAAAGTTTGCGTATTTGGCATTGCTTCTCATTGACGGTAGCGATGGCTTTGAAATGGTGCGCTTTTGTTTCTTAAGAGAAAAAAGACTCTTTAGGATAAGCATAAGATTATTCTAGCGTTTTGTCATTGAATACATGTAGCAACTACTCTAGTCTAAGGATGGTTTATTCGTAGCAAGTTAGGTGAGATTTAATTATATGCTGATATTATCATTAATGTAAGTTCTTGATTCCTCTGTCTTTCAAATTGATCCTCTTTGTCCCATTTTATTTGACATGCCTTTTCTCATGACATGCAAAAATATTAGTACTTGAAGAAAGTGTAATACTTTATTACTCTATACCATGATATCCTCAGTAATACCTGATCACTTTTAACAACTATTTCAGTGTTGTCTTCTGACACTATCAATTCAATATGCTAGTTAAGTTATTTAATGGTGTGTTTGATCAAAATCTCTCACAGAATAGCAGAGGCAGAGGGAGTATCAGTTAGATTCCTTACACAAACTTAATTGGTTATATTAAAATTGACATTTGTTGCATGCTGCCATCTTGTTACCAAGGTAACACAGAGGGTGTCATATTCTTCCTCCAGTACCTTTCGCATTTACTGATTGGTGATTTCTGCCAACTTTATTTCTTCTTTGAAAATTTCTCGGCTGATATTTTTTTTGTTGGTAGACCTTGTGATTGGTTTAATTAATGTCACGACCCGAGCCTACACCCTGGACGTGGCCAGCACTCGAGAACCATTGCTGGTCCCCAAACGAACGCCCATCCTGGCTGACTATAAGCGGAAGACTAACTCAAACTTAAAAATCTTAAAAACTGAATAAAATTCATGAAACTTAAATAGAAAG